ATATATTTGTATAATGTTATCATATCCCCTCTCAGGCGACGCTTTTCTAAACTAAATAGGTTTAAATTTGTTAACCTTTCTTCATAGCCGATATGTTCCATTCCTTTTATTAATTTTGTAGCCCGCCTCTGCACTTTTTCTAGTGCCATAATATCCTTCTTTAGAACAGGTGCCCAAAATTGCACAGCATATTCAATATGGGGTCTTACCAGTGATTTATAAAGAGGCAAAATTATATTCTTGTCCCGAGAATGAATGCCCTTTTCATGCATGACAATACCTTACTGGCCTTGGCCACTGCTGATTGACATTGCACATTGTTGCATAGTTTGTTGTCTATAACAATTCCCAAGTCCTTTTCATGTGTTGTTATCCCTAATTCGCTTCCATTAAGGGTATACGTTGCTTTTCCTATTCTTTTTATTTCTAAATTTGCATCCCCTACATGTCCCACAGTAGTGGAACCCTTTACTACCTTTTAAAAAATTGTTATTATTATTCCCTCCTATTTTTTCTTTTTTCTAAAAAGCTTTTCGTTAAAATTTGTTTAAAATTATTAGCTCCTCTAAAAATAAATTTTGGCCTATCATTTAAAAATGGAGATATTTCATGATCTTCCTTCAATAAATGCCAGTGTTTTTTGACAATTTTTTGTAACTCATGATTATTGGAACTAAAATCAAAAATTAAAGGGATACTTTATTTTTCGTTTATACCAGTCTCATTATTTCCTTTACTTTTATATTGTAGAAGGGATTGTCTATCTTTTTCACCAATTTCTTTTTCTATTTTTTCCAATTGATTTCTAATGTCATATCCTTTTACATAGAATTTATGTTTTAAAATTCCCATTTGTCTAAAATATTCCTTCTCTTCCGTACAATTTCTCTTCATCCTTAAAAATTGACCCTTTGGTATATTTTCCAACCATGGTTTAAAATGACAACTCTTAAGATCAATAAAACTGTTCACATCAACTGTTTTAAAAAAAAGTTTTGCTTTTTATCATATTGTCCTCTACATAAATACTTAAATCTAAAAAGTCGATCTGTTGTGGATTAATCTCATACGACAAATTTATATTAAAAGTATTATTATTAAGAGATAAAATAAATTCTTCTAAGGTTTCCTTACTACCCTTCCAAATAATAAAAATGTCGTCTATGTACCTTTTATATAGGACCAGATTTGCCCCTATGTCCTCTCTGGAAAAGATACTTTTTTCTTCCCAGAATGACATAAATAAATTTGCATAACTTGAGGCAAATCTGGTCCCCATAGCTATACCCTGTATCTGAAGATAAAATTTATCTTCGAACCAAAAAAAGTTATTTTTAAGAATGAGATTTATACCTCTAATTAAAAAATCTATCTGGAGACTATCCATATTCTCTGATTTTTCAAGATAAAACCTAATAGCTTCGCAGCCTCTTTCATGATGAATTATAGTGTATAAGTTGCTCACATCGCATGTTGCCATAATAAAATCTTCTTGCCATTTAAAATTGTCTAAAATTTGTAACAAACTCATTGTGTCCTTTAAATATGCTGGACATTTAATTACCATTTTTTGTAGAAATTGGTCTATATACTGTGATAAAGGGGACAACAGTGATCCTATTCCAGAAACTATTGGTCTTCCTGGTGGGTTATTTATGTCTTTATGTATCTTTGGTAAGACATAAATAACCGGTATCCTAGGATATTTAGTGTCTAAAAAATCATATTCTTTTTTGGTTAAAATACCTACATTAATACCTTCGTCTAAAAATTCCTTATATTTAACTTTGACGCAGACGTTCCGACGTCGAAAACCGGAAGTAGGAAGATGCAACCCGAATGGTGGAAAGAATGGGCGCCAATTTCAACTATTTAAAACAAGATGCCTTGAATATGGATATCACTTCGGATGAAGGCAATAGCCTAAACGCGTTAAGTGTTTGGACTCTCATTTTGGGACTTTTTATTTTAACTTTGGATGTATGGTTTTAATTTACTTCAAGATTTGAAGAATAAAAGCTTGTTTAACCCCCAGTTTTTCTGTGTCCTGGAGGTTCTACATTTAAAGAGGAAGAAAGTTCCCAGTGGAGGTCCCTGTTTGTATATTCAAGGCATCTAGTTTGAGCCAGCTTTTTAAGTGGCTCTATTTATGTGAGTGTGATTTACACCTATTGTATATATATTTTATTAGACTATACTACTCTATGTCTTTTTATTTGTTTTTTTTCCAGATCATTTGACTGCAGTGTGGGTAGTATTTTATCATTTTGTGTGCTCTCACCTACTTGTTATTTGTTTTTATTCATCTATATATACCTTTGCGGATTTATCTGCAGCAACGAGATCCAATAGAAGATAATTTCAAAACATCACAACGTGCTTACGACAGAATAATATTATTTACAAATGGGGATTCCCAACTAAACTGTACATTTTTTATAAAGACTCCTCTCGTCTCTGGTTAAACCCAGATCAGGCTAAGAAAAACTGACTGAATGGAGTTTACTGAAAGAGAGTGAAAATAATCTGGGTTAATAAGGAACTCAAGGGAAAACTTTTTTTTCCCGCACATAATTGATTTGTAATCCTTCTGTTTTATACGGTGGGATGAGAGAGGAGAGAGAAGGGGAATTGCATGCTACAGAATTCTTAAACACTTATAGTTGCTCTTACAAGTAAAAAATAAATGTTTATAAAAGGATAAAATGATTACACTAATATAGCAATTTTTTGACACCTCTCTATATCCTTGCAGGGGATATCTGAATGAGAGAGGGAAACTCTTCTAAAGTTAGGATTATATATGTATATATATGTAAATACACATAACTTAAATGAATTATTAGATGGATAAATAGACAACGATTCACAGGTATAAAAATTTCACTTAGCTTAACCTTTAAATTTAAACATAAAATACTAGAAAATCTGAATTTTTAATTTTTAAAAAATTTATTTATTTATGTATTTTCCTTTTCTTTTTTTCTCTTTCTTTTCCCTACTTGTACAGAACAACTTCAACTTATGATATACCCCTAAATAAGACAATATAGTATATATGTTGTCTGATTAGGATTATACAGGAAGAAATTAATAAAAGTTTAACTAAGCATTACAAAGAGTCATAGTTGACAACCAGAAATAAAAAATATTTTAGTCACTCCTTTTTTATTGTTATTTATTTACTTAATTTTTCTTTCTTTTTCTTTTTTTAGGCAAACAGGGGGAGGGGGGAATACAAGGAAGGGAAGAGATACAAAGATACTGGAGGGACAAAGGAAACCAAACTAAAATACTCTTCCTTTTATAAGTCAAAATATCTAAATCTTTATATTGAATATATCCCTTTAATTTCAATACTCAAATAATTTTCTCGTGCTTACCACAAAATAATATTATTTACAAATGGGGATTGCTAACTAAATTGTACATTTTTTTTACAAAAACTCCCATCATCTCTGCTTAAACCCAGATCAGGCTAAGAAAAACTGATTGAATGGAGTTTACCGAAAGAGTGAAAATAAGCTGCCTTAATAAGGAACTCAAGCCAGAACTTATTTTGGGGGGCACATAATTGATTTGTAAATCTTTTGTCTTACATGGCAGGGGGGATGAGAGAGAAGAGGGAAGGGGAATTTCATGCTACATAATTCTTTAACACTTATAGTTGCACTTACAATGGAAAAATAAATGTTTGTAAAAGGGTAAAATGATTACACTAATATAGCACTAATTGATACTTTTTCACATAGATTTATATACTTGCAGGAGATATCTGAATGAGAGAGGGGAACTCTTCTAAAGTTAGGATTATGTATATTTATATATGTGAATACATACAACTTAAATTAATTATTAGATGGATAAATAGACAACGATTCACATGTATAAAATGTTCACTTATCTTAACCTTTAATTTGAAATATAAAATATTAGAAAATAAATTAGCTTTTTTTTTAAATTTATTTATGTCTTTCCCTTTTCTTTTTTCCATTCCTTTTCCCTGCTTGTACAGAACAGCTTAAATTTATTATATAGCCCTACATAAGATAATATATATATATATATGTTGTCTGTTTGGGACTATACAGGAATTACAGCATTACAAAGCGTCATAGTTGACAACTAGAAATAAAAATATTTTAATCACTCCTTTTTTATTGTTACTTTTTTACTTAATTTTCCCCTCTTTCTTTTTCTTTTTTTTTTTTTTTTCCAGTTACTGTGTTAAGGAGAATACAAGGAAGGAAAGAGATAAAAAGATACTATTGGGACAAAGGAAAAAAAGATAAAACGCTATTTTTTTTTTAATAAGTCATAATATGTAAATCTTTATATTGAATATATCCCTCTAATTTGCAATACTCAAATAATTTTTTATTTTTTTTTGAATTTTCATTTTTGTGTGCATTAAGAGTACAAACATGTTGGTAATGCAACAATAGCTGGTATCAGCGTCTCATACTGAACATACAAATGGCATAGATTAAGACTGCACAATTTTTTATAATAATCATGCTTGACTTCAGTACAAAACATCAAAGTGGCGTAAGTGTGAGTATAAGATGAGTATACAGAGGTATATATGTGTGAGGTGAAATTAATAATCTCTTGGTGTGTGTCCAGCAGTGTTCTGAGCTATGTCATGAGAAAAACAAATGATTGAACAACCAAAGAGAACAGAGTAAAACACCTCCACCAAGATATGAATTCCTAGAACATGGATGCCCTGTGTGAGGGGAGACAAGGAGCTTGCTAGATTTGTCAGGCAATGAGATGTGTCATACTCAATCATGCTATAAAGCAGGTAACTGTAGGATTAATAAAAGAAGTAGAAAACAACAGAACAATAAATTCCACTGGTTAAATATATTGGGCTGTTAGTGCTGCTGGGTGAGTAGCGCATTATAGAAGAGGGAGACAACTAACGGACAGCAGGCATTATGAACTGTGAGAACAGCATTTTAACAACCCAGCCGTGCTAGCCATTGACATGTCTCCTAACCAATGCCCCTACTTGCAGCCAAAGTTCCCGGAGAGTCTGTTCCGATCTTTCCCCCACAGTCAGCCCAGGTTTCCGTTGGGGTTTGCGGTTGCAGAGCTGCAGCCCTGCACTTCCAGCAGCATAAGTTGAGGAGCTTGCGTTCAGGCTTGTCGTGCTGGAGGCGAGGGAGCAGATTCTCTTGCTGGTGAGGTGAGTGATGGCGGGAACACCCTGGTGGATGAAGTGGAGCCGCCCGTCTTAGCTGCTTTTTGCGCCATCTCCTTTTTGGCACCTTCCGGGGAGCACATGTGCGATGCTTGCGTTTGCAGCCACGAGCAGCAGGTCGGCTCCGGGGAGCCACGGATTTGTCAGCAAGGGCAGAGGTGGGTGCCCTTTTGCGGAGCTTCCTCAGGAGGGGGGTGCAAGTGCGGTCGGGCGTTCTGAGTTGCGGTTCCATGCATGTGGGCCCCAGCAGGGCAGACCCGCTGTCCCACTGTGTATCAGGGGAGGTGAGTGTGTCAGCTCTGTGTTTCAGGCGTTCCCAGAACCTCTGGCATATCTCCTCAAATTTTGCGTTGAAGTGTTCTCTCCACTCCAGGCCCATTTGGTGTGTTTGAGGTTTGTGCATGGTGGCCATCTTGGTCGCGCCACGCTGCTTGTACGTCTGCTGGAGTCTCCTGCTCAGTGGGATAAAATTTGCCCAGTGGGGACCGGGATATCCCCCGCCGGTCCAAGGGGGGGGGGTGTAACAGGACCACCTATATGCTGCCACAGAGCCTGCACACTGCCCCGGGAGATTGGCCGCCTCTCACCGTTGCCCGTGTGCCAGCCCAGTAGGCCTCAAAGATGACGGTCGTGAATGCTGGTAAGCAGGGTGTCCTGTGCCAGATTTTTCAAGATGCTCGGTTCGAGATAGCCGCTTACATGCATTTTGGGTCGTCTGGTGTCAGAATGTCAGCTTTAGTCATTGATTTATGGCACCATGTGCCAGGAGCTAGTGGAAAGCACGTCTGGCCATCTTGGATGTCAGGCCCCGCCCCCCTACTCAAATAATTTTTTAAGCTTCTAACTTTTAAAAATCTTTTCTAGATATAATTATTTTTATTATATTATTTTATGGATAATATCTCAACTAATAATGAGATATTATTAAGACTACAAATAAACAATTCAACTTTATGGATATGTCTAAGTGTATATAGGAGAGGAAAGAACAAAATTAATTGATAAAATACTCATTCTTATATATCTTAAATCTCTATTTCAAACATTTACTTTTATTTTTAAATCTATCTTGAACATAATTATGAACGATATATCTATTATAGATAATGTCACACTTGTTAAATAATTTGTGTTGAAAATGCTTTATAGTCCTATTGATATTATAACATCTTAAAGAGAATATTTGATTGATTACCGCATCCATCAAATGTTAATATCATATTAGCTATGTCCTTTGGAGGGTACGGATGGGATTTGGACATAACAAATGGTTTTTTTTTTTACTGTGTTTAAAAGATTACAGAATTTGAACCTCATATTCAATTTAAAATGTTGTTTCTAATCCACATACACACACTCAGGTTCAATTAATATTTAGTGTTTTTTTTGTTTTGTTTTTTATTTTAAATCTTTAAATGTTTCTTTAATCTCCTACTCATAGATATACTATGAAATTTAAATCATTTCTCACAGTCTCACGAAGACATGCACACATGCTACTACCCCTGATGGTTTAGGGGAATTTTTTGACACAAGATGGGAAGCTTTGCATTCCACACATGTGTCAATTGGATGCATGATTCCAGGGCCTTTTTATAGATACTGGAGTGAAGTGATTGTTTATGTTGATAGGAATGTATCGAGACATATTATTTTTTTTGTTTTTCTATTTTTATGGTAATCTGCTAGTGGCTGATGTCAATAAAACTTGTTACCATAAACTCACAGGGATTGAATTCCCCCTTCAAAAGAACCTGCTTGTTAGATCTTCTGACAATACATCAGATAGATGTTGCTTTTATACAGGAAACTCACTGAAAAGAAATAGATAATGGCGTATGGAAATACCATAAATATCCTATTATTTATATATCATCTCTCCAGGGCCAAAAGAAATGGGGAGTGGCAATAATTATTTCCTTTAGAGTTAAATTTAAATATATCCATCATATAATAGATACTCTGGGAAGATATCTGATATTAATATGTTAAATATATGATAATACATTTACTTTAGTAAACTTAAATGCACCCTCAGATCATCCAGTTTCATTTTTAGAATCGACAATGAAAACAGTCGATCAATTTTCAAAGGGTTTCCTTATATTAGGTGGGGACATAAACTGTATAAGCTCTTCTGATCTAAATAAAACAGATTAGTTAAAGAAAATAAATCTAATAAGAGAATACAGACACAAGCTAACGCCTTTGCTACTTCTACCTCTAAACATAACCTATATAATATCTGGCATAACCAATATCCAAAAGAGAAAGATTTTACCTTCTATTCTAATCCTCATGATTTGTATTCTTGGATTAATTTTCTCTTTACGAGGGCATCATTTTTAGAATGCTGCTTAAACTCACAAATTGGTCATATAAGTTGGTCGGATCATGCCCCTGTTTTTCTGACCCTTAAAAACAACCCACAGTATAAGATTCGTTGCAAATGGACATTAAACGATTCCATTTTACTGTCTGAAAGCAGCAAAAAAGACTTATTGAAAGCTTCTGAAATGTTCCTTAGAGAAAATGATAATGATGCAGTATCTGATGCCACGTTATGGTGTACTATGAAATGTTTTCTTAGGGGATATCTGATAAGCAGGGTGTATACCTTAAAAAAGACAAGGTAAAACTTTAATTGATCTCTACATTCTCCTTGCTGGACTGAAGAGAACAAGTAAGCTCCATCCCAAAAGTGATTCCCATAAACGAATAGTATCAATTCAGAAATAAATAAGAAATAAACTACATCAACAGACAAATAATACACTAACATACTTGCTATCACTCAAACAACATTGGTATCACTCAAACAAGAGAGTAGGGAGTGCTTTAACAAATAAATTAAAAGCTCTAAACCATAGAAACAGAATTAAACAGATTATATATGAAGGATCTCCTTGTCTTTCTCCCCTCCATATCGGCAAGGCATTTATATCCTATTATGAAACATTATATAATTTACCTGAGTCTCAAAAGTCAGACCAACAAATGGCAGAATTTCTAAAAAAATACCTGCCGGTTCTTACTCAACAAACCCCTTACATAAAAATAAATCTCTATTATAGTTGGGGAAATGAAGAAGGGGAAAGCACCAGGCCCAGATGGATTTACCTCTTTATTTTACCAGATTTTACATCCGGTGAGCGGACCACTATTGGAGCGCGTGTACAATGCTATAGCCAAACCAGAAGGCTTTCCAAAAGAGATGCTTGAAACTACTATCTTACCTATCCTAAAAGCCTGTAAAGATCCAACTATTGTAACTAATTATAGACACATCTCATTAATCAATTTAGACATGAAAAATATAATCTAAGATTTTAGCACACAGATTAAACCAGGTCATCTCAAATGTAATTCATCCGGATCAAGTAGGTTTTGTGGTGGGCAGGGCAGGGGAGGACAATACATGCAGAGCCATTAACATAATTAACGAAATTCATCAAAGAAAAATTCCATCAATTATTATGGCGCTCAACACAGAAAAAGAATTTGATAGAGTAAACTGGAGATTCTTAGCACAGACTCTGCGGTTGTTTGGACTCACCGGTCGGTTCGCAGATTTGCTTAAGGGCGTTGTACACACTTCCATGTGTGAAGATCATGGGTCCCTTTCTTAGCTCTATGAGTCTTGAAATACATAATGGCACTCGCCAGGGCTGTCCTCTGGTTCCCCTTCTTTATATCCATTACAATTGAAATATTGGCTGCTATGTTGAGGAAAACACAGAATATCACAGCTATAAAAGTAGGAAATCAAGACCATCTAAGATCCCTGTATGCAGATGATATTTTGCTAACACTGTCTTCTCCTAGCTCCTCGTTCTATGCAGTTTTAGAGCTATTACAAATAGATAGTTTGTATTCTAACCATAAAATAAATCTTTCTAAAACTCAAATTATTCCATTTTACTTATCGGATTTAGAAATTCACAACCTGAAAGAGTTTGAAACATTAGATTGGAATAATAAAGAGATCCAATATTGGGTTATTAAACTATGTGCTAAACCTGGGAACTTGATCTCCAAACATTATTCAGACTTGATTATGGATTTTAAAGATTGTATTTATTGGTGGAAGGCCCTAGAGATGTTGTGGTTAGGATGGATACATATTATTAAGGCCTATCTAGTCCCTAAAGTTCTCTACCTATTCATAGCCATCCCAATTCCAGTTCCCTTGGCCATAATAATAGAGATCGAGATTATTTTCTCTACTTATGCATGGGGATCCAGGAAACCAGGAATCCCTGGAGATATCCTTAAGAGAAAGACAGATGCAGGTGGGGTGGGATATCCTGACTTACATAAAATCCATGAATCATGTATGCTTTCATCTGGAAGGCTATTCCATGCATCCACTACCCTCTCATTAAAGTAATACTTCCTGATATTATTTTTAAACCTTCACCCCTCTAATTTAAGACTATGTCCTCTTGTTGTGGTAGTTTTTCTTCTTTTAAATATAGTCTCCTCCTTTACTGTGTTGATTCACTTTATGTATTTAAATGTTTCTATCATATCCCCCCTCTCTCGTCTTTCCTCCAAGCTATACATGTTAAGTTCCTTTAACCTTTCCTTGTTTTCCTACGTTTTATCCTGCAATCCATGAACCAGTTTAGTAGCCCTTCTCTGAACTCTCTCTAAAGTATCAATATCCTTCTGGCGATACGGTCTCCAGAACTGCGTACAATACTCCAAGTGAGGTCTCACCAGTGTTCTGTACAATGGCATGAGCACTTCCCTCTTTCTACTACTAAAACCTCTCCCTATACAACCAAGCATTCTGCTAGCATTTCCTGCTGTTCTATTACATTGTCTGCCTATCTTTAAGTCATCAGAAATAATCACCCCTAAATCCCTTTCCTCGGATGTTAAGGTTAGGACTCTATCAAATATGCTGTACTCTGCCCTTGGGTTTTTACGTCCAAGATGCATTATCTTGCAGTTATCCACATTAAATGTCAGTTACCACAACTCTGACCATTTTTCTAGTTTACCTAAATCATTTGACATTTGGCTTTTCCCTCCTAGAACGTCAACCCTGTTACATATTTTAGTATCATCAGCAAAAAGACATACCTTACCATCAAGACCTTCTGCAATATCACTAATAAAAACATTAAAGAGAATATACTCCATTGACTACAACCCTCTGTTGCCTGTCACTCAGCCACTGCCTTACCCATTCAACAATATTGGAATCCAAACTTAAACATTGCA